AAAAATGTGAGTTTATTATAACTGTTTAGACTAACATATGTTCCTGTGCACTAACAATATCGTAAACATCGTAAGGTAGCATCCACATAAACTAAAATATGATTGTTATACGATACAGCCAAATGATAATAAAATGAATAGTTTGGCCAACAGTTCCTTGTTGCTACTGATGTTAAATTTAAAGTGTAATAAATGTTGTACCCAATAAGCCTAAAGTTTTGAACATTCATGTTGTAATTCTAAAGTTTATGAATTTCACTCATGTTCTCAAAAGGCTCGTTTTTCTCAATCAGTTGATGCTTTAAAGATGCGTTTTTTTCGATTTTTGTTAACATGATAAATAGTGACAAGTTGAAGCATTCCTTCCCTCCAGCGCTACAAAGGCTATAGCTGCTGGGAGGGTACACTAACATATAGAAGCAGACTTATTGTATTCGGCTATAACTAGAGAACAAAATTCCTTTGCTTGATTAATATATCAATTAACCACAATAGAATAGCAGTTAGAGAAATATTAACAATTAACATTTTTTTCAGGTATTTTAATGTTATTGTTGTCATTTAATTTACTCTTTTAATTGATTCGTTTACGACTAATCGTTTAGCTTAAACAAATAACTACGGTAGTTTCATATAAATATAATATTGTTATCGGAAACCTCTTTCTATTTCTTCTTGGTACTCAATAAATTAAAAGCTAATTAAGTTGTTAGATTACTTTTTATTTACATATGTTTCGTAACATCTGTAAATATTCTGGAAGTTGTTTAATATTCTGACTTTCAACTATCCACAGTAAAAGCCTTCCAACGCATTAAATACGACTTCAAATAATAGTATAATACTTATTTGTGAGGTACTGTAGATACGAGAGACAAAAACTACAAAACTAAGATGTAATAATAATAATTATTGCAACAATGAGATGTTTTATTATAGGTTAGCTATTGCAAAACAATTTTACAGTTTCGAACATTCATCACGTAATGAACTTTTACGTGTGTGTTTTATAAAACTACACAGCAGAAACGTTTTTCTTGTCAAGATCTCGTTATTTCTCATTTCAGACCTTGTGATTTACATTTGTAGTTTTATTTGAGACACACACAATTTGCTTCTGTAATAATCAGCAGAGTAAAATTTCCAGTTGGAACCAGTTTAACAGCTATATATATTTTGTAATATAAACCTACCTTGATTGGAACACGCGAAAACTGACTACACCGTTTTATCTTGTTATCCTTGCAAGCCATAGAAAACCAGAGATAAATGCTAAAACTTGATTTGTAAGTGTATCAGAAGCAATGTCTTTTTTTTTAATATTGTACCAAATTCATATTTTAATAGGCAGCAAGAACTTACCTCCTGTGTTTTAAAGGCTGCATATCAATTATGAAAGTTTACTATTAGAAAAAAAAATTATTTTTACGTTATTGTTTGTTTTATGATATTATAATGACCCTTATTACTTACTAGCTGGAGTACCCGTCCTTTGAACGGATGAAATAAAAACTCAGTTGTAACAAAGGATAGGAAATCGTGCTTCTGTTTTTGTTGTTGCTTTAATAAACATTAAAAGTGCTATAAAATATATGAAAGTGCAATAACTGAAAAGAAAGACATTGTTTCCAAGAATTCTATCAATATAAAATTTGATGGGGAGTCCACCCCTACCCCTCTCATGACGTTCCTCATGTCATCCTGTATCACTTTGTCAAGTTTGGTGCTGATTAATCAAGAAATATGGAAATGTATGGGAATTTTTTTTTTGTAATTAAACACAAAGCTATACAATGGGCTATCTGTGCTCTTCCCACCACGGGTATCGAAACCCGGTTTCTAGCGTTGTACGTCCGCAGACATACTGTCATGCTACTGGGGGCGAAACGTATATGGAACAGATACACACACCCATATATTGAGTTTATTTATATTTATTCTGTTTTGGATATTTTTGAAATATTGCTTTTAGCTTTTCTAGTAGTATCGTAGGTCACGAGTATTCACGGTTTCCTGGACTAGATACGTTTTGTTTTGACTTGTTTCATTTATAGTTGATCGAAGACATAAGTTTATCCTCATTAAGTATGGTAGCAAATAACGTTATATTTTTCTTTGAATCTATCTGGTTTTTGGAGTTTCTTAGCTTTGAATGGATTATAAAGTTAAGGTGAGATAATAAGGTATAACTGAGTATAATTACCCTCATTAAGCATGATAGCAAATAACTTTATTTATTTTTTTTAATCTATCTGGTTTTTGGGTTTTTTTAGCTTTGGATGGATTATAAAGTTAAGGTGAGGTAATAAGGTATATCTGAGTATAATTACCCTCGGTAGAGAGGTATAATCTTACTATAATGGACGTAGCTTGTATGTCAATATCTATGTATGTAACCAAAAACCATTTCTTTATAATATAACACAGTTTTAAATAAAAGTACTCTCCTCACAACTCTTCTTTCACTAGGACTGTACGTGAAGGTTTGATTATATCTTTATTGATATAATTTTTTAATGCAGCACTGAGAAACTGGAGTTCTTAAAGAACTATTATTTTTTCAATAAACGGTAACAATTTCAATGTATAAGAATATTACAGTTTATATCAATATAATTTATGAAAAGTTTGAGCTCTGTACATTGAATCATTTTGATGCAATGAGTTGTATATGACTAAAGAGCACAATCCAAACACTTTTCCCGTGCAGTAATTCCCAAAACAAAAAATACTTTTTTTAGAAAATGTATAATTTTTTCTTAATTTTTTTCAATGAGTTATGAATACTACAATTAGTAATAACTAGCACAAAATGTCGCCAGTAGAGCGGTGTTTCTATTAGTATAATTACTCTGGATAGAAAGGAATGGTTTGGTACAATTATTCTGGGTATAATTAATCTGAGTAATAACATGTAATTGAGTACCAGTCAACCAGTGGCTCAGTTGCATGTCTTCAGGCTTAGATACTAAAATTCGAGTTTCGGTACCCATGGTAGGCAGAGCACAGATAACCCATTGTGTATTTGAAATTAATAACAACCAACTGAATTTAATTATTTTGGATAATGAGGTATAATTGCGTATAATTATTCTAGGTAATAACGTATAATTGAGTATGATTATTCTGGGTAATATCGTATAATTGAGTATGATTATTCTGGGTAATAACGTATAATTGAGTATGATTATTCTGGGTAATATCGTATAATTGAGTATGATTATTCTAGGTAATATCGTACAATTGAGTATGATTATTCTGGGTAATATCGTATAATTGAGTATGATTATTCTGGGTAATATCGTATAATTGAGTATGATTATTCTGGGTAATATCGTATAATTGAGTATGATTATTCTGGGTAATAACGTATAATTGAGTATAATTATTCTGGGTAATAACGTATAATTGAGTATGATTATTCTGGGTAATAACGTATAATTGAGTGTGATTATTCTGGGTAATAAGGTATAACTGAGTATGATTATTCTGGATAATAACGTATAATTGAGTATGATTATTCTGGGTAATAACGTGTAATTGAGTATGATTATTCTGGGTAATAACGTATAATTGAGTGTGATTATTCTGGGTAATAACGTATAATTGAGTATGTTTATTCTGGGTAATATCGTACAATTGAGTATGATTATTCTGGATAATATCGTATAATTGAGTATGATTATTCTAGGTAATATCGTACAATTGAGTATGATTATTCTGGGTAATATCGTACAATTGAGTATGATTATTCTAGGTAATATCGTATAATTGAGTATGATTATTCTGGGTAATATCGTATAATTGAGTATGATTATTCTGGGTAGTATCGTATAATTGAGTATGATTATTCTGGGTAATAACGTATAATTGAGTATAATTATTCTGGGTAATAACCTATAATTGAGTATGATTATTCTGGGTAATAACGTATAATTGAGTGTGATTATTCTGGGTAATAACGTATAATTGAGTATGATTATTCTGGATAATAAGGTATAACTGAGTATGATTATTCTGGATAATAACGTATAATTGAGTATGATTATTCTGGGTAATAACGTATAATTGAGTATGATTATTCTGGGTAATAACGTGTAATTGATTATGATTATTCTGGGTAATAACGTATAATTGAGTGTGATTATTCTGGGTAATAACGTATAATTGAGTATGTTTATTCTGGGTAATAACGTATAATTGAGTATGATTATTCTGGATAATACCGTATAATTGAGTATGATTATTCTGGGTAATATCGTATAATTGAGTATGATTATTCTGGGTAATAACGTATAATTGAGTATGTTTATTCTGGGTAATAACGTATAATTGAGTATGATTATTCTGGGTAATAACGTATAATTGAGTATGATTATTCTGGGTAATATCGTATAATTGAGTATGATTATTTTGGGTAATATCGTATAATTGAGTATGATTATTATTGGTAATATCGTATAATTGAGTATGATTATTCTGGGTAATAACGTATAATTGAGTATGATTATTCTGGGTAATAACGTATAATTGAGTATGATTATTCTGGGTAATAACATATAATTGAGTATGATTATTCTGGGTAATATCGTATAATTGAGTATGATTATTCTGGGTAATAACGTATAATTGAGTATGATTATTCTGGATAATAACGTATAATTGAGTTTGATTATTCTGGATAATAAGGTATAACTGAGTATGATTATTCTGGGTAATAGCGTATAATTGAGTATAATTATTCTGGATAATAACGTATAATTGAGTTTGATTATTCTGGATAATATCGTATAATTGAGTATGATTATTCTGGATAATAAGG